TGTGCACTCACCCTGCCAGCGAGCAGCATCGGGACACAAGCTGTCCCCGATTGCAGCCGTCGATATCGTAATCCGTAAGGAGGTCACGGTCATGTTTTGTGACTCTGAACGGGACGAGGGTCTTGGCTTGGTCGCCCGGACCGCGAGGAAGATAACCTCTATAAAAAAATCCTCCAATACTAAGTTCTGGTGCGCGGCGAGAGTATGCATGGCTGAGGAGTAGTGTCAGTCGTGAGCGCACCCCCAGCTAGGGGACCAGTGGACCCTCTAGTTGGGAAACAAATTTTCACTTACCCAGGTACAGGGGGCACTGCCTGGGTGGACCGAATATTTCCCCCATACTCGTGGGAACTTTATGGCGTTGAATCTAAAAAACAAAAATAAAAAACCACATCTGGAGGAGGAGAGTGCGGGTGAGCTTAGCTCGCCTGCAGTAGCGGGTGAAGGGAGCCCAAGTAGCTCTGGGACTCGTGGTGAGGCGCTGGACTCGTCCAGCAGGCCCCACACACGGGAGTCAAGTCGGAGGGGGTCGGACTCTGAGTCCGACACATCGCTGGCGGAGCGATTGAGCGTGAGCTCGGAGAGCTCACGCCGTCGCGTGACGGGGACGTGTAAGCGTCCCAGACTGGAGGAGGACGTTCTGTCCCCGTCCTCTGGCGCGCAGGAGGCGCCTCCCCCTAAGGTCCCCACGGCGGCGCGGGGTAGGGGTGGCAAGGGCGGCGGTCGCCGGAAACCGGGAACCGCCGCCTGCGCGGAGCCAGCCGGGCAACTGGCTGAGGAGGGCAGGGCTCTCTTGAGCGCTGCCCTCTCAGAATCCTCCGCCATGGAGGTGTCGGAGGGCGAGCCCGGCTCCGAGAGTAAGCGCGGCTCCGAGGGCCTTCGCCAGACCGTTTGGGAGGAGCTTCGTAGGGTGGCTGGGAAGAAGTCCCAGCAGGCCAGACAAGCCCTCATGAACAAAGCGGGGGCCAGCATCTTATCGGCGGCCTTGGAGCAGTGCACGCTGCCCACCGCTGGCGGGGAGCACGAGCAGCTGGCTGAGATGCGGCGGGAGTTGGCGCGCTTGACGGCCTCCAACGCCGCTCTGGATTGTTCAGGGACTTTAGAGATAAACGATGGTATGCTATTTTTGTCTAAAATTTGTTCAGAAACTTTAGAGACGAAGAATGTTTTGCTTTTTTTACTATAACTTTGTTTAGCGACTTTTGAAAAGTAATGGTCACCTATTTATGCCCTTTTATGATAATCATTCATTTCTGGCGCTTGTCATGTTGAGCGATTTAGGTATAATAAGTTGTACAGCGATTTTGAAAATTTAAATGTAGTCATCAACTTTTGATGCTGACTGTACTTTGTTGTTAGAAACTGATTGAGACCTCCGAGTTTGTTTCGGCATTTCTTCTCAGAGTAGTTTGTTGGTAATACCGGCCCCACCAATAGCTTAATTGAAGTAAAAGTGCAGTGTACAGAAATAAACAATGATTTTATACCGGAGACTACATCATTTTACTACTACCTACGCTAAGCTAAGCTTCCTAGCTTAGAACATAATAGGAAGTTTTGCTAAATAATTCTGGGTTCGACAGGAGAGACATGAAAGTAGGTACCTATAATAAATACGGTAGGTAGTAATGCGTTCAAATAAACGAAGAGTTTTGAATGTTTTGTAACTAAATAAAGGCAATACGCGCAAATATTGTAGCTTTTATATTTGACAGATAAAAGCAAGGCTGTAGGCTAGGATGTAAGCCACGTCGACGCTGTTTTTTGTTCGAGAATACCAAAATGTATGTAGAATTGTCAATATGTTCGCCGTTAATAGTTTCAACTCACGGCCGTCACAGCCTTGAGCGCTAGTGTACCGTATGTCAGCTTAGTGAATACCAAACGATAATTTCGTCGCTGTAGCAACGCTGCAGGCAACGCTGTATCCTTATCAAAGAGTATAATAAGTATAGGGGATATCCTTATAGAATAGCACTGCAGGTATTGGGTCGCTCATTTCAAATTGCCTCATATATAGTATAACAAATTACTGTTATAATAACTTAAAGTTTGGTCAGATGATACAAAAAATAAAACAACAATGTATCACACAAACTCAGCCGGTAGTGTTGTTGATGGGTGATAGTACTGGGGTAAAGAAGCGGGATATAGTGGATGGTGTCGATGCTTTATTGAAACTAAAGATAGGAAACATAATAATGTGTGCTTTTCCGTATTCTGACAATTTGACAGAATCACAAAATAAAAATATACATTATTTAAATAATTTAATATTTATGCTGACATGTTGTCATAAAGACAAATTATTATTTTTTGACACTCACAAATTTGTTAGTGATTTTAATTTGACCAAGGAATACATGTTTATTCCTAAGGCCTCTGCCTCGAATTTTGCGGGTAGCGGGGCGGCGGCGGAGGCGGCGCGGGAGCGGCAGGATCTTATGCGTAAAATCAAATGGACTGGTTCTCGAAAACACAGTGGCGGGCGTTGCGGCGGGCAACGAGCGGTGCACTCTAGTCAAGCAGTGCCCACCGCGCCGCCGCCGCCGCCGCCCCGCTGCCCGCAAAATTCGAGGCAGAGGCCTAAAAAATGTAAAGTTTTACTTGCTAGTTTGCTAGCAAATAGTATTAATTCAGTTTATAATAGTTTGAGTGACGGATCTATATTATGTAGACAATCTAATAATATAGAGATTAGCTGTACTTATTATGATAGTACGAAAGAGACTCATGATTTGATGACAAGTGTGGGTACTCTGGATAACTTTTTAAACTGAATTATAAGACAACAGAGGATAAACAATTAAATATTAAAAATGTTCCATGCATTGTAAAGGTATCTTCTGGCAGTATATGTAAGCCTAAATCTATGAAAGTAGTACATAAGAAGAAAAAGCAAGAAAAGTTGTTAACATTGTTTAATCAAAATATGCAGGGCTTTTCATCAAAATCTCTAGAAATTAAATTATTTTTAGAAAAAAATAATTATGATATTATTTGTATTACTGAACATTGGCTGAAGGATTATCAAGTAGAATTTATAAATTTTAAAAACTATTGTGTTGGAAACTATTTTAGCCGTCAAACAATGATACATGGTGGTAGCCTAATTTTAGTTAACAATTCAGTGAAATATAAAGAAAGACAAGATATTACATTATTGTCAATAGAGCACACAATAGAGTTGTCCTGTGTTGAGCTGGATAAGCATATTGTAATCTGTGTTTATAGACCTCCTATGTTACAAAATTTTAATAGTTTTAGCTCCGTAACGGAAGATGTACTGCACAAAACGTGTTCTAGTAGTAAATGTACCATAGTATGTGGCGTTTTTAATGTTGATTTCTTGGAAAATAACTCTATTTGTACTAACTTATTAAGTCTCTTCAAATCTTTTGATTTATCTAATGTTTTCCTTGAGCCCACCCGTGTAACATCCACCACGGCAACATGTATAGATAATATTTTTTGTAATTAAGATTATTTACATAAATATGTTGTTAATAAATTAACATCCGATCATAGTGGGCTGACAGTTAGCTTTGACACCATCACAACTGTTCAAAAAAGTGAAATTATGTTTATAGACAGATCTCAAATAAAAAAATTGAGTCATTAAATCATAATTTAAAAAATGATTTATGCGGTCAAATACATGTTAGTGAATACCCGAGTGAGATTTATGCCAACCTATTGTCAATTATTAAAACTCAATTTGATAAATTATTCCCTGTAAAACGCAAAAACATTGAATGCAAGTTGGTATTCTGTGACTGGGATACACCAGGTATACGCATAAGTAGGGAGAGATTATTTGAGCTTTACGGTATGAAACCATTTAATCATAGTGAGGCTTTTCACATTTATGTCTCCAAATATTCGAAAACGTTTAAATTAGTTTGTAAGCAGGGTAAAGCATTTTACATTACCAATAAAATTAAGACCGCAGAAAATAAAATAAAAACTACCTGGAATATAATTAATGACGAGACAGGTAGAAATAAATCACGTAGTGCTGAATTTAATCTAAATACTGCGAATGGACGCATCAAATCAAATTTGAAAGTTGCCCAGGAAAATCGAAAGTTTCTTTAAAAATATTCCGATTACAACTACGGAAGCATTGAAATTATCTCCGACACTTTCCGTCGAACTTCTTAAAAGTAATATCAAAGTCAAAGTCAAAGTCAAAGTCAAAATCATTTATTTCAATTAGGCCAGAATGGCACTTTTGAACGTCAAAAAAATATTAAAAGTGAAGCTATTTGCTCATTCCAAGGTGTAGATTCCTATGGAGAAGAACGAGTAAGAAACTCCATAGGTTACTCTTTTTCAATCAGGTTCATAATACAATTTACTAG